CTTCAAATTGATACAAAAAATGTGATTTGAAGGTAGAATGCTACAATTTTAGTGATAAAGTGATAGATCCTTTAGGTGTTAGAAGATTCCAATAGAAAGTCATCAGGACTGAAATTTGGGTCTGCAGTCCATATTTTCTTTTCATTGTATAGCAAATAATGAACCTTCATTTTTGGTTTTATTTCCTTTGCTATCAGAAAAGTCAGGTAATATTTTAGTAATATGAAGTCATTCATACTGCTTATATCAACTGGCATAATACACATGAAATTGAGAACAGTCTTACTCCTTCATTTAATGATTAAATTATATGAAATTTAATATTATTTGAAAGATCTGAGCCATTTGTTCAAATATGAAAAAGTAGGAACAATAATAGGAATGAGATTCAGAAAAAAAAANAAAAAAAAAGGACCACATAAGAAACTTCCCTCACACTGAGTAATTATTCTCAAATAATTACAAGAATGTAACTTTATTCTTTTCCTGGCTTTCTGTTCTCTGGAATAGGAAGTCAAGTAGAATAACTGAAGGCAACACTGTCTTCTTAAGAGGTAAAGACTTAGGGTCTGAATTGCTCAGTAGCTACATACAGAGCCTATTTCAAACTGTGCAGCTCTTTCCTGTGAGGTTTCTGTAAATTGCAACACTGCCAAACATTGCTTGGTGCTCTTCCCCAGCAAACTCTAAATCTGGCACCAGCTTTCACAGTGACACTCTGCCAGCTGCTTCCAGAGTAAGAACCAATGGAGAAGTCCAGAGCTGAGGGACAAACAGGAGGGAGGATCACTGCAATCCTCTTTGAACTCATGTACCTTCCAGGAATCCATCCACAACAAGAAGGGTTTATAGCTTTTCAGGAGATTTTATAGCAGCTCCCAGCAGGAGCCATTCAGGATAACTTTGGCAGTGCACAGTTGGATACTTTTAGGAGACTTGATAGCTTATTGTTTTTACCTCATCTTATTTTTGAAAATGTTTCTTGCCGTTGTTTTTTTCATTTCACGAAATGCCATCAGATTTCCTTAAAGTCCCCTAAATATGCCTACTTACATATCCGTTCCTTGCTACTCCCCTTGATATTCAATTAAGACGAAACACCTATTACATAGAAATAAAAAAGAGATTTTGAAGTCTAGAATTTAATTGCCATAATTTATGTTAAATATTTCATTGTTCCCAAGAAGTTTATTTAAAGATTGCATTTACTGCTCTCAAGTAAGTTTGTTAAAATGTTAATTTCACATGAACTCAGTTATAGTAATTTGAATATATAGTAATAAATTTTAAGATAAATTGTTACCTGAAATAAATGACTTGTTCTCCACAAATAGTAGGTCAAAGACTATTATTGTCCAGCATTGTAAATATGAGTATTGGCACAGAAGTCTTTAATTTCAGTATGAAATAACCAGATCTAGATTCTGTCTTGTTTTATTTTATTTATTTTTATGCTTTTTCCTTGTCTGGAATTAAGTTTCTTATAGACTTGCTTTAAAAAAAAAATTCCATTTGTTCTCCATCAGCACAATTTATATTGATCCATCAAAGATAAACTCTCTTTGCTTAGCTGATAGAAAATCCAATTAATTATCAAAATGTATCCAAATAGCTGTGGATGCTTTTTCCAGGTACTGCCTTGCCTGAAGCACCATCTTCTGTGATAACAAATATGCAGCGTGAAATCTAATCTAATCTTTCTTCCCTGACAGTGTTGGACAAATGTTTAAGATCAGTTCATCTAGATCATTCCAATACATTTTTAGGATTTTTTAAAAAATCAAGTGGAGCATTTGGAATCAAGTCAAATCTCTCCTGAAATTTGGGTGTCAGAGGCACTAAAAGTGTCAGAGAACCTAACACTTAAATTATGGCATTTGTGTGACCATTAAAATGACCTTGAATTTACTGGAGAATT